CCCCCCCATCCCAACCTTCCCTCCCCCCACCCCGCCCCCGCCCTGCAGCCTGCACTCCGGACTGGGGACTCTGGAGACTGCGCTGGCCCAGGGTTGGGTCAGGCTGTCCTAGGTGGTCCAGGAGCCAGGTGGTTCCTCCTGAGACCTGTCCCCATCCCCTTCCGGAGCCAGGGTGTCCCCACCCAGTCCTGGGGGCCCTGACCCGCCATCCTTCCACAGACCAAGATGGGCTACAGCTTGGAGAACGTGCACCTCATTGGCCACAGCCTGGGCGCGCACACGGCTGGAGAGGCAGGCAGGAGGCTGGGAGGCTCCGTGGGCAGGATCACTGGTAAGGGGTGTGGGGGTGGTATGACAAGGGTGGGCGTATAAGGCAATGGAAGCCCAGACACAGGCACTTCTCATAGCCAAGGGCGCCCCTACAGTCCTCTGGAGACACTGATTTTAGGTGCTGCCAGACTTAAATTTAAAAAATAATTGCCCATACATTTTCATTTAAATTACAAAAAATAGTATAGGATTGTAAATAAAAACATGTTTATTAAAAAAGAAAAATATACTAGTACATTCAAATCATGATTTCAGGATTATTATTGCTAGAGTACGGCAGATTTTTGAACAGTGAAATGGTTTTTTAATACGAATTCATCAGTTCCACAGATATTAATTGTTGTGGCAGTGCCAGCTACAGGCAGAAAATGAAAGTAGCTGAGACCTGTCACAGGAAGCACGTGGTAGATAATAAGAATGAATGAATGAGTCACTAGGCAAATGAAGGCACACAAGACATAGACACAGACACCGCTGAGTCCCGTGTGTATGTCACTGTGCAAACGGTTTGATGGCTGTCTCCTTTGCCCAGGGCTGTGCGCTAGGCATTGGGGGAAGGATGAAGGATTCATAGGATATGTTTACGGAGACTTTTTCAGATTGCAAAGTTCTTTCTCTTATACCTTTGCGTGGGGGTTTCACAATAGCCCCATATGGTAGGTTGCTGTTATTCCCACTTTCCAGATGAGGAAACTGGGGCTCAGGGAAGACATGCCTTTGACCTTGAGCAGAACCTGGGCTAGAATATAGGTCACTGAGTCTGTGGGCCATGCTCCTCCCACCCTCTGCTTCTCTTTGAAGATGAGCTGGGCACAGCCGCTGCTTCAGGCAGAAAGCCGCATGGATTTTGTGGGTCCAGGGGTTGGAACCTGGTTTGTCACTGTCCACCTCCCCCTTTCAGGACTGGATCCGGCAGAACCAGGCTTCCAGGACACGCCCGAGGAGGTGAGGCTGGACCCGTCGGACGCCATGTTTGTGGATGTGATTCACACAGATACCTCACCCACAGTCCCTTACCTAGGTGAGTGCCTCACTCACCTCTTGGTGACCAGGGCTGTAACTGCTAAGAGTAGGTCCAGGGGTGGTATTCAACATGGTTAACTACAGTAATAGCTTGGATAGTGCCAGTGATCAGCCTGTGGCCCCAGGCAGGTCACACACACACTGGTGTAGCCTATGGAAGGCTGTTGCTCAGTCCTCAACCCTGTGACCTTCCCTAGGCTCCACTATCCATTCCTTCACTGGTGGTAGGGGGGTGGGGGTGGCGGGGGGTAGGAGAGAGGTTGAGGGTCCTTAGTGCTGCTGCAGAGGCAGGAGAGGCTCCTGCCACCACTGCTGAGCTCATCAGCCAGAAGCCATGCTCCCTGCTCCTTAGCGCTGCCTCCCTTGGAGGCGGGAGAGGCTCCCACATGCTCTGCAGCTGTGAGCCCTGCTTCTGGCTGAGTGGTGCTCCCCCCATGGGAGCACACTGACCACGAGGGGGCAACTCCTGCATTGAGCGTCTGCCCCCTGGTGGTCAGTGCGCGTCATAGCCACCAGTTTTTCCACTGTTTGGTCGATTTTCATATTAGGGTTTTATTATATAGCACTAGGGGCCCGGTGCACTAAATTCATGCCCGGGGTGGGGGGCAGATCCCTCAGCCCAACCTGCACCCTCTGTCATGTTCCAGGACCCTGGCCACTCCGGACCTAGGCACAGGCCTACAGGCTTGGGGCGGCCTGGCTCCCGAGGCCCCATTTTATCAAGAGAGCAAAGGCAGCGTTAGTTACAGCCCTCACCGAACCCAGTACAGTGCCTGTGTGCGTACAACTGCCTCGTTCATGTGCCTGCTTCACCCTACTGAATTGCTAACTCCTTGAGGACATAGCTCTGTCTTATCCTGTTTCAACTTCAGTGCCTGGCCTGGTGCCAGGGACCTGGGAGTGTTTGCCCAGTGAGTGAGTGAGTGAATATTTGAGTGAGTGAGTAAATGAATAGGTGAATGAATGAGCGAGTAAGTGAATGAGCAAGCGGCTATGGGGCAGGAACTTCTGCCGCGTCGACATGGCGACATGGCAGAAGTCCCCGCCCCCTTCCAGCTGCCTGTCGCCCACCCCGGGAAGTTCCCGCCCCACTCCTGGCTACCCGGCTCCCTGCTCCCGGCTCCCTGGTGCCCCACACCTGGCTGCGTAGTTCCCGCCCCACTCCCAGCGACACAGGCCCCCAGCAACTCCTTCAGTGGAGGCCAGGGCAGGCAGGAAGCCTGGCTTCCTTCGTTGGTTGCTGGGGGCCACCAAAGCCTCCAGCTCTGTAGCCACCGCCATCTTTGTTGGGTTAATTTGCATGTCACTCTGATTGGCTGGTGAGTGTGGCTTCAGTGTAGTGGAGGGACAACTAATTTGCATGTTTCTCTTTTATTATATAAGATGCTTGACCTATACTTGCAAAATGCAATGTCAATGTTTGAATATTTTGCTCACTTCTTTTGTGGAAACTTTAGTTCTAGTCTGTGTTGTTGGAAACAAATTATATTCCTTTATTTAATGCTTCTAAAATAAAATGGGTGAGTTGTTGGTAGTTTAAGGAAATGAAAATTTAAAGCAAACAAAATTATGTAAGAAATTAATATCTCATAAACTCAATGTTCTTTTTTCAATATTTCCTTATGTAACCGCTCATGAAACATGCCAACAAGAGTATGTTTTTAATAATAGTGATGGTTACCATGGGCTGAATTGGACATTTTGTACATACTCGCTCATTAATCATGGAAACAACCCTAGAAAGTGGGCATTATTATTAGTGTTTCATAGCAGAGGATACAGAGGCTTGAAAAGCTTAAGTAATTGCCACAGATCACAGAGTGTGTAAATAGAACCAGGCTGTGATCACGGGTCTGTGTGCTTAAAAAGCCAACGTGTCCAGCCATTATGCTGGGCTCTCAATACAACGAGATCTCAATATAACCTTCTAACATAGAAATCAAAAATTCAGAATGAGTAAAGGAATGGGAATTGCACCAGTCCTGATAGGTGTCAATTATGCATAATGGTATCAGGGGATATCGGTATTGTCACAGCCTCCCAGGACAGACAGACACACATGCAAATACACATGTAGGCATGCTCACTGCCACTGATCGATCCTCCTTCCTTGTCTTGCTACGGGCTCATCTTGGAGAGGGATCTGCAAAGCCCGATGGGGTGGCTGTGCTGAGGGGACAGTTCACGAACTAGACTCTCGCTCTGGTTGGAAGGAGTTGGACGCTCTCTGGGGCCATGACCTTGTCGCAGGACCCCTTCCCTCCCTGCTCACTGCCGCTTCCGATGTTTCAGGTTTTGGAATGAGCCAGAAGGTGGGCCATCTGGATTTCTATCCAAACGGAGGAAAGCAAATGCCAGGATGTCACAGAAATATCCTTTCACCCTTTTTTGATGTAAATGGACTCTGGGAAGGTACGTGCATTAGCAAAGCAAGAGGGCAGTGCCCTCCCTGGGGAGAAGGCAGGATGCATGGCTGGGCCCTGGTAGCACTGAATTTGCCTCCAGGTACTGCGTGCTCATTCTGTCCCCGGCATTGTCACAGCGCCATGAGGGAATTACTCTGCTTATCCCCATGTTACAGCTGAAGAAACTGGGTCTGAACAGTTATCAAACTTGCCCAAGGCCACCTTATATTAAAGTTCAATTTCTGGCTGCAAAGTCCCAACCTCATACCCAATCGAACCTGGGACCCTTGAGTCCACAGCCTGTGTCGTCCCCCCTCATGAGGATGCTGAGGCCTGAGCTGGACGGGCATGTTGGCAAATACCGGTTCTAGCTGTGCCCCACCCCCACCTCAGCTGCTTACACTGCTTGCTCCTTAAAGGGCGCCCACAAAGGCATGGAGGGCTTTGACGTTCTTGCCCTTTGCTGTGGGCAGGTGCTCGGACAGGAAAGGGACTGAGCTGGTAAAAGGACCGAGTGTCGACATGTTCCGTGGGTTTGGGGAGCACGTGCATGGAGCGGGTGGAGCCTGGAGGTCTAGGGGGGATGAGGCTTGTGCGTGTCAGTGTCAGAAATTCCAAACCTGTAGAGAATTTTTATGAGTTCATCAGAGCCAAACTGACAACAATTGCTGGGCAGCAAAATCTCAAGGGACTGAGAACATGCTCCGGAAAACGGCAGTTTTGCAGCTTATATTAAACATTAGAATAAAAAGAGGAGACATAGGGGTTCCATGAAATCCATGGGTGGTAGATTAGGGGCAGGGAGAAGAAAGTAAAATGGGAAATCTCTGGAATTGGATAAACAGTAAAATAGAGGGCTCATTCTTTTACATTGGTGGGAACAGGATCGCTAATGATCAACATGGACAGCACATAGAGGTGGTATTTGGGGAACAAGGTCACAGTGAGGGATTCTGGGGTCTGGTTTTCTTGTAAGGGGGTGCCCTGAGGGATCTGGAAAAGATTACTCTGATATTTAAAAGGTGTGTTACCTTAGATGAAAAAGAGAACAGTTTCACTTAAGGTAAAGGTTCCTTGTCACCCTGGCTGGATGGCTCAGTTGGTTAGAGCTTTGTCCTAGCTACCAAAAAGGTTTTGTTTTGATTTCTGGTCAGGGCCCATATGGGAGGGAACAAATTGATGTTTCTCTCTCTCCCTTCTTCTCTCTCTAAAATTTATAAACATATCCTCAGGTGAAGATTTAAAAAAAAAGAAAGGATTGACCTTTGTCAAGGAAGATACAGGCCTGGGACAGGACTACCCTCCATGACCAGCTTCTAATTAGGAATTTTTATGTTCAGCTCACCCCACGTGGTTACTTTCGGCCTCTGAGTTTGTAAGGCCACCATGCAGGCCACTCCTAGGTTTGTCCGGTTTAGTATGTGGCATCTTTTTCGTCCCTATGAGGTCTGCATTTACATGAGAGACAGGCTCAGTCCCCCTACTATTAGGTGACTTACAGCGCCACCTCCATCACCTGTCCTTGTCTGACCTCGGCTCTTCTCCTGTTGCCTCTCCCTGGAGACCAGGCTTCATATTCTCCCTGCACAGGGAGGCTTTGATTCTGCCATCATTTCATTTTAATGTTTATTTGTCTCCGCTGGGAGTTACCCGGGCATCCCCGACACCCCAGTACCCTGCTCAGGGTCTGGCTCAGAGCAGGCGCTCAGTACAGCCCACTCCACTGAGCAGAGAGGCCTTCTGTGGCATTGAATATTCCATGTGCTTAATGTGAACGAATAATAGAGTGGAAGCAGTAACCAACATCCACCGTCAGCCAATGGAGCCTTTAGCTCTCTGCCCAGCACCAGGTAACTCCAGGGAAGACCCAGCTGAAGGAGCACTGAGTCACAATGAGGCTGCCCCTCACAGAAGAGACTAGCAGGGCCCACAGAAAAGCAAGGAGCCCAGCTTTAATTAAAGAGGCAATTCAGAGTGAAGAAGCCCACAGGATGTGCGTCTATTGTGTGGGCTCCCAGTCACCCAGGCGCTGGGCTGGAGGAACAATTAAATCCACTTGCCCCTCTATTATGGATCCGAGGGTAGCAATTCTGGATGAAAGAAACAATTAAGTTGGAAACAGGTTGTGTTGTCTGGTGATTAGTGTTGGTGCAGGAGTCCCTGGGTCCTGGGGCAGGCAGAGTTAATCCAACAGCACAAAGAGGACCCCCAGACCTCCCAGAAGTGGTCCCCAGGTATGTCTGGGGTCACTGTGCATAACACCATGGGAGGTTTTGTACCAAGGTGCTGGAGAAATGACAAAAAACAACAAAACAACAACAACAAAAAACCCACAATTTTTCAAATAGAGGACTTGGGTTTAGAGAAAAGGGTGGTAGATAAAATGCAGTGACACAATGGCCTAGGGCCCAGGGGACCTTGGTCTCCACTGCTTTGACCTCAGGCTTTCCAAGGAGGAGGAATTTCTCAGCCTGGGGCCCTGGGCACATAAAAGCTGCCTTCCTGGGACAGGCCCTGCAGATATGGCTTTTGGTTTTCT